TCTAGGCTTAACTTTTCTAGGAATGGTTATGGAAATTCACATTTTTCTACTCTTGGTAATAAGCAGATGCTTAAACGAGAGTATTTACATATATTTCTTTCTGAAAAAAGAACCCATAAATATTGTGCTTATAAATGCTGTACACCTAGTCTCCCACAGATACATCTGAAAGAATTAGAAAAGGTTTAAAAACCTCCCAAAATATCCAACTTTACAACCCACAACTTTTGTAAAAGGAATCACAAAATTCTAAAAAAAATACATTCTATTAAACCTTTTCCAGAAACACAGTTTGAACATGTTTATGAATATGTTTTCTTGCCATGAGAAAGCTGTCCTTCTGAACCTCAGCAGAAAAAAAAAAATGCACTTGTAGTGACTGACTGAGGCATATTCTGTAAAACTGCACATTACGTATTTCTGATTTTTTAATTAGGGCAATCTACTTTCCCCAATTCAAAATGCCAGATGATTCAAATGATTCAGAATGCCAGAACATCTTAAAGAGAGAGAAAATCACAGGTAGAGAAAGTTTGATGAGATATTTTCAGAGTTCACATACTTCAAATGTTCATTCATTTTAAAAATGTTTATTGTGGGGGCACTTGGGTGGCTCAGTCGGTTAAGCCTCTGTCTTCAGCACAGGTCATGATCCCAGGATCCTGGGATCACATCAGGTTCCCTGCTCAGGAGGGAGCCTGCTTCTTCCCCTCCCTGCTCCCCACTTGTGTTCTCTCTTTCTCTCTTTAATAAATAAATTTAAAATATCTTTAAAAAATAAAAAATAGGGGCGCCTGGTTGGTTCAGTGGGTTAAGCCTCTGTCTTCAGCTCAGGTCATGATCTCAGGGTTCTGGGATAGAGCCCCGCATCAGGCTTTCTGCTCAGCGGGGAGTCTGCTTCTCCCCTCTCTTTCTGCCTGCTGCTCTGCCTGCTTGTGATCTCTCTCTCTCTCTTTCAAATAAATAAATAAAATCTTTGAAAAATAAAAAATAAAAATAAATAAAAACATTTATTGTGGTAAAATATATATAACATGAAATTTATCATTTCAACCATTTTTAGGTTTAAAATTCAGGGACATTAAGTATATTCACAATTTGTGCAATCATTACCATTGTTCATCTCCAGAATTTTTTCATTGGCACAGATAGGAACTCCGTATCATGAAACAATAATTCCACATTCCTTTCTCTGTCCCCAGGCCCAGGTAACCTCTTTTATTTTTTTTTAAGAATTTATTTATTTATTTGACAGAGAAAGAGAGAGAGAGATTGCAAGTAGGCAGAGAGACAGGCAGAGAGAGAGGGAGAAGTAGTCTTCCTGCCGAGCAGAGAGGCTGATGCAGGGATTCAGGGCTCGATCCCAGGACCCTGAGACCATGACCTGAACTGAAGGCAGAGGTTTAACCCACTGAACTACCCAGCAGCCCCCCACGCCCCCCAGGTAACCTCTTTTCTACTTTCTGTCTCTCTGAATTTGCGTATTATAAGTGCCTCATATGAGTGGAATCATACAATGTTTGCTCTGTTGTGTCTGGCTTATTTCATTTGGCAGAATGTTTTCAAGGTTTGTCCTTGTTGGCGTGTATCAGTACTTCATTATTTTTTAAGTCTGAATAATATTTCATTATAGGTATATCAATTCACTAGTTGAGAGACAGTAGTTTTCACTTTTGACTACTATGACTAATGCTGATATGAACATTGGTGTTCAAATACCTGTTGGAGTCCCTGCTTTCAATTCTCTGGGGAATATACCTAGAAGTGTAATATTCATGTGTGTAAATTCTAAAGGATGCATATACTTAAATATTACAATTTGTGTTCAGGGCTGGACCTAGAAGCCCAAGTACATGGACTGAGGGATGCTGAAGATCTACCTTAACTATACCTGCAGTTCCACTGCCTCAGGGTATTGGAAAACTCTGTTTTGATGAAGGCTATTTGTAAAGCTCCAAAGGACAGCTTATGTGTAAGAAACAAAACCTCCCCAATAATAGCAATAACACACTGTGAAGTTCTTCATTTTCCCAGTTTCAACGTTGTCCCTTTAACTGATTGGTTAGAGTGCCCTCGTGTGTCTGTATTTTTGTGCTATGAAAGTTTTGAAAAAGATTTGATATTAGAATCATAGAGGGTGGGGGAATGGGAGAAATAGGTGATGAGGAGTAAGGCATGCACTTGTGATGAGCACAGGATGATGTATGAAAGTGTTGAATCACTATATTGTACACCTGAAACTAATATTTCATTGTATGTCAACTGGAATTAGAAGAAAAAAATAAAAAAAAATAAAATTTAATTTAAAAGAATCATAGAACTGGAGAAGAAATTTAAATACCTTTTTAAAAAGCTGAATATTATCTACATACAAGGACCCATGTCTAAGCAGTTAAAAAAAATCTTTTTTAACAGAGATCTAAATCATACACACCAGTATTTATCATGTATAGCTACAATGTAGCCAGTGAAAAACCACACCTCCTCTAGTGAGAAAGAGTACTTATTAGTCCTAGAAGCTCCCTGGATGCACTTCATAAATTGCATTGCCCTCGCTTACTGTCAGATGTAACACTATCCTGAATATAGTGTTAACCATTGCCTTGTTTCTTTATAGCTTTACCACTTAGTGTTTGTTTCCCTAAACAGTATTTGGGGGAAGAGAGAGAGAAAATTCCTATTTTTTAACTTTCCATAAATTGAATCCTATTGTACGTATTGTTCTGTGACTTGCTTTTTTTAGTCTACCTTTTAAAAAAGCATATTGATTCATATTTTCAAATCTTTATGGAATTTCATTTTATGAATATATTCTTGGTAGACATTCAGCTTTTTCTAGTTATTAAGAATAAGTGTTTGAACCTGTTGCCTGGAGCTCATGTGTAACAGTTTCTCTGGGTGTTCAAATATGAGTGGAATAGCTGGGTCCTAAAGTGTGCACACATCCAGTCTCTCTAGATAACACCAATGTTTCTACAGTGGATGCGAGTGATCTACGGCAATTCCATTTTCTCCATATCCTTGCCCATACTTGTTAGGTTTTTACATTTTGACGAATCTGAGTGAAATGTTACCTTATTGTGGATTAAATGTGCATTTCTATGATTATTCATGAGATTGGGCATCTTTTCATGTTTATATGGTTATATGTAATTTGCGTTTTTTCTTCTATGAAATACCTATCACAACTTGTGCTCACTTTTCTATTGGATTGTATGTTTTTTATCAATTGATAAGCATTCTTGAGGGGGGCTTTTTTTTAATAGCAAGATACAGCTTTCATACAGAGAGTGTAAAACATAAACACACTGCTTAATGAATGATTTAAAATAAAAACTGTGCAACCACCACAGAGGTAAAAGAATGTTGCCAACACTCCAGCAACACCTCCTTTGCACTCCCCCAACCTCATCACCATCTTTTCTCAGAGGTAATTACCATTCTGACTTTTGTGGCAATTACTTCATTACTTTTCTTTTTATAGACTTATCACCTGGGAATATCTCCTGAACAGTATAGTTTAGTATTGCCTGCTTTTGAACATTACAAAAATGGTTTCACAGAGTCAATTCATGCTGTTTCACATAGTTGTAGTTTCATGTAGCTGTAGTTTGTTCATTTTTGTTGCTATATAGTATTTCATTGCTGTTTGGTACTTTTGTTTCTGTATAGTACAACACAATTCTTGGAATTATTGTCTTCATGATGGAATTGGGGTTGTTTTGAGCTTTTTGTTCTTACAAAATGGCCAAGAACATTCTTATAATGTCTCTGGATACCCTTGATCAAGATCTCCTATCTCTAGGGTATATACCAAGCAGGAGATTATTGGATCTAACGTATACATATCTTCAACTTTATTAAATAATCCTAAACTACTTTCCAAAGTGGGTATACCAGTTTCTGCATTCACCACAAGTATTAGAAAATTCTCATTAGTCTACCAACAAATGTTGTCAGTTTCTAATTTTTGCCACGCTAGTGAGTATAGTTTGTTACAAATCAATCAATTAAAGCCAATCACTATGGCTTTAATGCATTCCCTGGTTGGTAATGAGTTTGGGCACCTTATATGTTTATTGGTCATTTGGATTTTTTCATTTTAGAAACACTTATTCAATTACTTTACCCATTTTCTATTGGGATGTCTGTCATTTTCCGTATATATTCTGGACACTAGCTTTCGTCAATCACGTGCATCGTAGATATTTTTTTTTCCACTCTGTGGTTTTTGTCTTTCTTTCCCTAAGGTGTATTTTGAAGGTCAGATTTTGTGTGTGTGTGTGTTTTCAATTTAAATCTAGTCAAATTTATCAATCTTTCCTGGTTAATGCTTTTTATAGCATGTGTTCCTTTATTTATTTATTTATTTAATCTTGGGATTTGCTTTTTATTGATTTTTTTCCTTGGTGCTCCAATCCATTGATCATGAAGATAGTTTATGATGTTACATCCACAAAGTTCTAGTTTTGCTGTTCACATTTCGGCTTTGCTCCACTGTGGTGCGGGAAGAGTCCAATTCACTTTTCCCCAGTACAGATCACTAATTATTTCGTGAGCACTTACTGCAGGGCATTTGGTCTTCCCCTCAGCTTTGCAGAGCGTCTTCTGTCTTCACTCAGGGGTCCACATACAAGGGTCCATTTCAGAGCTTGTTTTTCCTTTATAAAAAGTAGGATACTTTGCTAATAAAGTCATGCTTTTGCTTACTCACTTACCTCCTGTACCACTCTTAAGAGTGGTTAACTTATTCATTGCGTAGGAAAAATGCCTCCGCAAGCTCGTGTGGCTTGGGATCATCTCCGTGATTTCCCAGACCACCAAACACCCACCAATGAGAGTATCTCTTAGAAGCTCCGCCCCGCGGACGCCAACGCCCGCCTTTTTCTGAGCACGCAAACCGCAAGCGCGGCCGGGCCCTGGTACAGGCGCCGCACAATGAACTGCGCCTGCGCCAGTGAACGCCCCTCCCCTCTTTCCCCGGTCTTCTATAAAGCCTCGAGTTTCTCATCGCGAGAGAGTTCGTTCTCATGCTCGCAGCAGGGGTCGGAGGTCAGACGGAGCGTCTCGCGGGCCGTAGGAGGAAGATGGCGGTGGAGTCGCGCGTTACCCAGGAGGAAATTAAGAAGGAGCCGGAGAAACCGATCGATCGGGAGAAAGTATGGGGTCCGGAAAGAGGTGGAGGTGGGCCCGGCGGGGCGGAGAGCGAGGCCTGCGTGCGGAAGGCGGCGGTGTTTTGCTCCCCGGGCAGTTCGGAGGCCCCGGCATCTCCGGAGGGAAAGGGAGCTCCGGACTCACAGTCGTTTTCTTTAACTTCTGCCCTTCCTTTTCCTCCTCTCGCTCTCAGACGTGCCCGCTGCTGCTGCGTGTTTTCACCACCAATAACGGCCGCCACCACCGAATGGACGAGTTTTCCCGCGGAAATGTACCGTCCAGCGAGCTGCAGATCTACACCTGGTGAGGGCGCGGGGGTGGTGGGGGGCGCGGGGGCGCGGCCGTTGGGGGTTGGGAGGGTCCGGCAGTAACATTAAATAATTCCCTGTGCCAGTGAAGAAATATCCTCTCGACTTTGCTTTCTGTCACTCGGGGTCTTTGGGCCCAGCTCTCGGGAAGTTAGAGATTTTAGCTGTTAGGTAAAAGGGGATTCACGCCATCTGGTAATACCGTTAGGTTTAATGTTCAAAGTTTTGGGTTGTGAAGAATTGACACACCCAAGATTGCTATCACTGTTGTGGCTGCTTGGTACAAATATAATATGTAGATAAATAAAATGCAGTAGCTGCCGTTAAGGGGCTCATAAATAAGTGGTACTGGAATAACATGGTAAGGTGGAGTCATGGGATATTTATCTTCAAGAGCATTTCTGTGTAATATTAAGCCTTGGGTGCATTAAAAAATTAAAAAAAAAACAATTGATTTCTGATCTGGTGCTTAATGGAAAAGCTTTTGATGTGTGTTTCCTGAAGACCTGCCCCTTAAAGTTTATATCTTACCTGTACCTTCTGTACCCCCAAGTCTGTCTAGGGCCATTACATATTACAAGCGTATCTTTAGAGCTGCATATATTTCCTGAGTTTGACATCCTAATAGCTGTTAGTAGCAGTAAAAAGTTAATAAGGTTTAAAAATATGTTTTGTGGTAGAATTACATTCACATTTGTGTAACCATTACCCATTACCAAAACTTTTTCTTTTACCCCCTGGCAGAAGTTTTGTACCCAATAAGCAATAACTCCCCATTCCTTTCTTTCCCCTGTTAGACTCTAATCTGGTTTATATCTATATGAATTTGCCTGTTCTAGATATTTGTGTCCACTTGTATAGTGGACTCATACAATATTTGTTGTGTCTGGCTTATTTCACTTAGTATAATATTTACAGGGTTCATCCATGTTGTAGCTAGTAACACAACTTCATTCTTTTTTATGGATGAATATTCAGTGTGTATCAATGTACCACATTTTGTCTATCCACTTTTTTGTTGATAGGTACCTGAGTTTCCATTTTTTGGCTTTGTGAATAACGCTGCTATGAACTGGGTATACAAGTATCTGTTTTGAGTCCTTGATTTCAGTTATTTTGGGTATAGACCTAGAAATGGATCATACCGTTATTATATGTTTAACTTTCTGAGGAACTGCCAAACTGCTTTTCACAGGAGCTGCACCATTTTACAGCCCCAGAAAGGTGTGTAATTTTAAACTGTGAGCCCAGCATAGTAAAACTTGATTCTTTTAAAGATTGGGACCCTATTTGTCTTTTGTAGGTACTTGTTAAATTTATGTAGTATGATTTTAGTTCAGCATCATTCCAGGATAAAGTTCCAGAAAGTTTGATTTAACTTATGAGGAAGAACTGTTACTAATGTATTGATGAAAACTTCTGTTTGGAGATTAAAGTGTATACTTCTTCCAGCAGTAAGAGTTCTATTTGCTAGGTGCGGTGGTTAGATTCTGAGGGTATGAAGGAAAGAAGGTACTGCCCCTCCCTGTAGTAAGCTGAGTCTAACAGAGAAAGCATATGAATAAATAATAATTAGGTAAAACTTTAGGGTGAAGATGGCAGAGTGAGATTGTTCTGGAGGTCCTCTATTCCTAATCCAGAAAAAAAAAAAATGCAGAAAAATTCTGTCCTAAATTGCCCTATCCCTAAACTGCAACCAAATAAGGAAAGGCAGCCTTATGTTATACCTCAAAATGATGGCCAAAGACAAAGATTCTAAAAGATTGAGTGGTTGGTGTGACAGCACAGAGGCCTCCCCCCTTTTCCAGAAGGAGTACTGAAGGAAGATTAGTTTAGTCAACAAATCTTGGGAATTCTCTGTTTGTAGAAGTAGACTGAGGGACTAAATAGGCAGTCCTAAGATAAGTCAGAGAAAAAGGAGTGAAGTCCAGAGGAGCCTAACAGAAGCAAGTTGAGTTTGCCAAAGTTCAAGGGGAACAAGCCAGACACCACAGGAGTGGTCAGTCTCCTGTGCTTGGGTGGTCATTAAACATGTTATATAGAAAGAGAATTACCTAGGTAGCTCTATCAGGGTTCAGATTGAAAAATGGAACCAGTAGGAGATCTCTATGAAGTGATTTATTGCAGAGAATTGGCTTACATGATTCCGAGGGCTACCTAGATAACTCTTTAAGTCCCCAATCTGTGAGGTGAGCTCTAAGGAAGGTCCAGACAGGAACTTTTTTTTTTTTTTTTTTTTTTTTTTAAGATTTTATTTAGTTGACAGAGACACAGAGAGGGAACACAAGCAAGGGGAGTGTAAGACGTAGAGACAGGCTTACTGCCAAGTAGGGAGCCTGATGCAGGGCTTGATCCCAGGACCCTGGGATCATGACCTGAGCCAAAGGCAGATGCTTAACGCCTGAGCCACCCAGGCACCCCCAGGCGGGAACTTTTTTTTTTTTTCAGGCAGGAACTCTTAAGCAAGAGCTAAGGCTCCCCATAGCAGCTTGAATTTCTTCTGCAGGGAAGCCTCTGCTCTCGTAAGCCCTTTTCAACTAATAGAATCAGGCCTACTCTGAGTGATTGAGTGAGGCTTACTCAGATTAACTGGGGTAATTTAAATTTAAAGCCAACTGGTTATAGACTTTGACCATATACACAACATACCATCTAGTAACACCTTTATTATTGTGATTGAATAACTGAGGTTGTAGCTTTGCCAAACTGACACAAAACTGAGTCTCACATTGGCAACACAAAGACTTCAGCCCCAAGAGAGCTCTTGCATTCCTCATGGTGTACTCAAGCTTTGGACCAGTGGTCAGAAGGCAGTACTTGGCACTCCCAACTACTGGTCTAGGGAGGTGGTTGTTAGGTTGGAAGCTTGTAGGAGATTCACTGTCAGAACTGATAACAGATGTAAACCAAATTCCGCATGTTCACTAGGAACAAGATGACAATATGGGAAGTGTTTTTAGAAAGGAAGAAAGGACCCTTTCTTGTACATATCATGTAAGGTGTACCAGGGAATAGCTGATGCAGAGTAATTAGCATCAGAAGATCGGGTTTAAAAAAATCAGTCTTGCCTCAGACTTCATGGGGACAGAGTTAAAATAGCCAGGGGAATTGTTGCAGAACAGAGTAGAACTCTGACAGAGTAAACAAGAAGTTACAAAATTAGGTGGTGATAGGGGTAACTGAATCTTTATTAAAATTTTATAATTCCTTCAATTTGTTTTTTATTCTGTTAAACCCAAGTAAATGTGAGTTTTATTAAAAATACATGTAATATTTGAAGCATGAATTACACTTGTAATTATATAAAATAATTACCTTATTAATAATTGCATTATTCATTATTAATAATAATTACAATTATAATCTTAGTATGTATAATATGCTTGATAATCTTAAGATTTTTTTTCTGTAGCATTGTGTATATGTAAAAAAAGATGCCTACAAGTGATGTTAAATATCACTGGTTATTTCTGGTTGGTGAAATTTGGGATATAATTTACTACCTTTTTGCATATGGCTTTCCCACCTCTTTAAGTAACATGAAGATCCGTCAAGTGGAGAAAGGCAGTCATGCACAGCTTCTCACCCCTTCCTTGCATGGCCACGTAAGAGTGACCTGGGGCCCAGAAGTGTTTTTTCATTTGGTTTTTTGTTTTTGTTTTCAAAGATTTTATTTATTTGATAGAGATCACAAGTAGGTAGAGAGGCAGGCAGAGAGAGAGGGGGGTGGGAAGCAGGCTGCCTGCTGAGCAGAGAGCCCGATGCGGGACTCGATCCCAGGACCCTGAGATCATGACTTGAGCTGAAGGCTCAGTCCACTGAGCCACCCAGGCACCCCTGGTTTTTTTTGTTTTTTTGTTTTGTTTTGTTTTTTGCAAAGAGTTAAAGAGCTCTCGCAACTGTGCTGGGTAAATGTCTTTGGGAGTATCTTTCCCTATTCTGGGTTTGATGTGTTCTTTGTTCTGCCCGTGTGCCATTGTGTGGGACCTGACCTGCAGTATCTGTTCTCAGGGGTCTTTACCTGCAGCACAAGAAGGGTACATGCAGACTGTCTGGGCAACAGCTACAGGGGGAGACCTGCTGGCCATGGGGGACCCACACTTCATGAAGCATATCTTCTGCTGTCTTTTCTCAGTGCAAGTAAAGCATTGTTCCCTCTGTTGTCTCTGAGTTGTGTCTGTCTTGGCAACCCCAACACCTGCAAGCTAATGCAGTAGGTTGATATTCTGGGATTGCTGCTCCTGGTGGAAGGCATTTTTGGGCTCTTTGCTATCCTCCAGGTGGTTGGTCTCCTCCCCGGGTGGTGGTAACAGGTGTCACTCATGTGACAACAGCTTTACACAGAAACTTTAAAAAACTGAGATGGAGATGAATCAAAGGCAGTTAAATAATGAGGTGTAGAAATCTGTGATGGTGAAAAATGGAGGAAATGATATGCTCTGTATTTAGGAGGTAGAAATAACGGGATGGAGATGGGAAAAACTTTAAGGTTTATGGCCTGAGCAATGATGTGAGTGATAATAGAGGTTTTTTTGTTATTTTTCTTTAAGTAGGCTCCACACCCATTGTGGAACCCAACATGGGGCTTGAACTCAAGACCCTAGTTGAGGTTAAGAGTCAGATGCTCAACGAACTGAGCCATTCAGACGCCCCAGTGATGGTAGTTTTGATGGTATTAGGAGAGAGCCAGGCATGTTTTGGGGAGAACACTCTTGGAGAGTATCTAGTGTCCCTTGTTTTCATTTTATGGCCCCCTATAGGCAAAGGTGTTTCAGTTTCACATCATCCATTTCATTCTTTTAGTTGTCATGAAAGAAAACTATAAAAATGTACACTGTTCTAGTTTGTTAACTTTTTCCAAGATGTTCATATTTAGAAAGATTTTTTTCAGGTTGTGCCATATTAGCTCAGAGGACTGTTTTAAGTTCTGAGTTCAAATAAATATTTGCAGGGCAAGAATATGTACTGTGAAAGGAAACTATGCTTAGTCCTAAAGAAAATTTCATGTTTCATTGGTTTTATGGCTCTATCTACTGTAAAACTCTTAAGATTCCATCTTAGAAAGAAAAAATACTACATCTTAATGAAAATGCTTTCCTGTCATTGATTCTAAGATGCATTCCAACTTTAGACATGAAATGTGGAAAAGTACATGCTTTAGAGATAAGGAAATATAATTATTTTAATTGGATTACTTTGGAGTAGTTACTCTTAAACAAGTAAATCACTATGCCAGTAAGATGTTATATAGCAACAAAAGACAGCAAATATAATCCCTGAAGTGCCCCCCCCTTCTTTTGGATAGGTATATTTATTTATTTTTTTTATTATTATTAACATATAATGTATTTGTTTCAGGGGTACAGGTCTGTGATTCCATCAGTCTTACACAACACACAGGACTCACCACAATACATTCCCCTCCCCAGTGACCATCACCCAGAAGCCCCGTCCCAGCCCCTTACACTCAAGCAACCTTTCCTGAGATTAAGAGTCTCTTATGGTTTGTCTCTCTCTCTGGTTTCATCTTGTTTCTTTTTTTTCCCTCTCTTCCCCTATGATCTTGTTTCTTAAATTCCACATATCTGTGTGATCATATAATTGTCTTTCTCTGACATATTTTGCTTAGCATAATACCCTCTAGTTCCATCCACATCATTACACATAGCAAGATCTCCCCCTTTTGATGTCTGTGTATATATACGACGTGATCTTTTATCCATTCATCTGTCGATGGACATCTGGGCTCTTTCCATAGTTTGGCTGTTGTGGTCCTTGTTGCTGTAAACATTGGGGTGCGGGGTGCCTGGGTGGCTCAGTGGGTTAAGCCTCTGCCTTTGGCTCAGGTCATGATCTCAGGGTCTTGGGATAGAGCTCCGCATTGGGCTGTGTGCTCAGCAGGGAGCCTGCTTCCCCCTGTCTCTAGCTGCCTCCCTGCCTACTTGTGATCTCTTTGTGTCAAATAAATCTTTAGGGAAAAAAACAAAAAACATTGGGGTGCAGGTGCCTCTTTGGATCACTACATTTGTATCTTTGTGGTTAACAGGGCACTTGTTGGTCAAGGGTAGCTCCATTTTCAACTTCTTGAGAAATGTTCATACTGTTTTTCATAGTGGCTGCACCAGCTTGCATTCCCTTTTAGCACTAATAGTCTGACTTTAATGTATTAACATTTCGATCATTGGGGCTGGTAAGGGGAGTTTATGGGGGCAGATAGGATTATTAGCTGCTTTAAAATCAAGCATGGGGCACCTGGCTGGCTCAGGTAGAGCATGTGACTCGATCTCACTGTTGTGATAATGAGCCTCATGTTATGTGTCGGATTACTTAAAAATAAACTCTTAAAAAATAAAATTAAAGTATAAGACCTTGACAGCTGTAATTCTAACAGGTCATAATTCACACATAATTAACTCATTGTATATTAATATTCTTGTTATATTCTTATATTATTGATTAATCAAATATAATGTTTTCTTTTAAAAATTCAGGATGGATGCAACTTTGAAAGAACTGACTAGTTTAGTAAAAGAAGTCTACCCAGAAGCTAGAAAGAAGGGCACACACTTCAATTTTGCAATTGTTTTTACAGATCCTAAAAGGCCTGGCTATCGGTAGGTAATTTTTAATTTTTAATTCCTATAATCTCTTAAGATTAATAGATAGGGATAACCCCTCACCTTTTAATAAGTCTTTGGTTTGCGGGGGGATATAAATTCTATTACTCTGGTTTAGCTTAATGCAGTAATTAATTTTTAATTGTGCCATAAGATATGGAGCAAATCCAGTCCCGTGTTTACTTTGCAGTGCATATTTAGTTTCATTGACTTGTGATCCATTAACAGTTGGGTCTCCTTTTCTGCAGAGTAAAGGAGATTGGCAGCACCATGTCTGGGAGGAAGGGGACTGATGACTCGATGACCCTGCAGTCGCAGAAGTTCCAAATAGGAGACTATCTGGACATAGCAATCACACCTCCAAATCGGGCACCACCACCTTCAGGGCGCATGAGACCATATTAAATTTTATTTACTATTTCTTGAATTATTTTTCATTCAGTTATGTAAAATAAATTCTTTTTCCTCTCCTCATCATTGCCATTAAGCCTTTAAAGTCTAAACAAATTGTAATGCGTCTATTTAGGAATTAGATTTGGCTGTGCTATGGTATGGATATTAATAGAAAGTCTGTATGTTTCTGGTCCTTCCATAGAATACAAAGAAAAGTGCTCTTAGCATCCTTTGTAAAACTGTATTGTTAAATATATGTGTGCAATCAACCAGAGTGTGAAAGTTCATGAAGGCACGGGAACAGGGTTTAATGTAGTATTTGGGGTTTATGCTGAGTAATGGGTGGTATGTTTAAGCCCAAATGGGGCCGACTGAGAAAGTCTCGGGATGAATTAGAGGGCGAGTTTGTGGCCTCGACTGTTGCCTGCAGTTAGAACAAGGATGAGGTGGCATTTTGGAATAGCATGAGCTGAGGCAAGTTGAAGAAGCTGTATCTGCTTAAAGAGATGGGCCTGCCTAAAACAAGGTACAGCGATGTAAAAAGAGGAAAATGGGTGCCATGGTGAGGGCTTTTTATGTTTTAAAAATGGGGAGAATAGGGCATTTTGAAGACGAACCAGTATAGAGGAAACAAGGGTTAGCACTTAGGATAAGTTGGGAAGGTTTACTTCGAAGGTCTGAAAATGGAGGGACAAAAGAGGAATCCCAAGACCTGGGAGCAGAGCCAGGGATTTGGCGAAGTTGAGTAAATAGAGGCTATCGACACTTGGAGTTACCAGTGCCGGGGATTGGCTTGTATCATTGTCTGGCGAGTCAGTGTGCGTCGTGCTTAAGACCAGCTGGGCTGAACATTTTTGCACCAGCAGCTTGGCAGCCTAGGACCAGTTACTTGAATCTCTTGGTATTTATTTGTAAAATGGAGAGGACAGCCCATGGGATTGTGGCGATTAAATATTTCTAGAGGCTTGACCTGTAAGAAACAGTAAATACTAGCTAGTAGCCATAAAGTAGTCTAAGCTGGAGCCGAATCTTCTGTGGCTCTTATTACATCCGCATCTTGAAGTTTCTAGAGTGTGGCCAGAGTATAGTGAGCCCAAATTACCATAGTCTGTTACAGTAGGAAATGGAAAACGTATATTCCAAAATGAACAAATAGGTGCTAGCAGTGATTTTCAGTCCAATTCCAGTCATTTTATCTTGTACATACAGAAGCAGCCTTTTAAATGTAATGGTTCTGTGGAATTGATGTCCCTTTTGCAAAGCCCATCACCAGGCAGCAGAGAACCAGCCCAGAACCTAGATCTAGTGCCTCTTCTCTGAAGTTCACCACAAACCCTTAGATTTTTTTATTCATTCAGACTAGATAGACGAGTTCTGTCAGTCATAAAAGTAATTTAAACCTTTATTTATTTTTTTTTTTTTTTAGAAGAGGAACCATGGTTATCTTCCTGTTTGTAGGGAAGAAACTGATTTCCTATGCAGAGAACAAGGCAGGAACTAAATACAGGACCTTTGTAAGCCAGTTTTTTATATGGCGTGAACTACAATGAGGGCTCTCCTGTAATTCCAGGTTATTCTCCCAGTAATTTTAAAGTGGTTTATTTGCCTGGTTCCAACATGGAATTTTTCCTTTAAAGATTTCAGTCTTCTACCAAAAGTACAGTTAAAGACTACCTGATGGATTTATTATTGACCATAATGCTAAGAATCAGACGACTTGTACTTAGTCCTTATTTACCTCTGGCTTTGGTAAGTATGGCTTATAGGTAAGTATCTGAGCTGTTTCCTCAAATATAAAATAGATATAAATGGTCACCGTGACAGTACTGTGCTCAGTGCTTAGTATCCTGACTGCCTTGTTTGCTCAGAAGGTATTTCTGGAGTTGAAATTTTCTCTTCGGAATATGTGTTCTAGCTCATGTGTTGCCTATAATTTGCCTATCTTTTGAGTTTCCTCATAGTATACGTGAACTTGGTGTTTTGAGTTATTTAACAGATCTTCAATAGGGAGTCTCGCTATTACATTTATATTTGGATTTTATAAAACGTGGCTGTGGGACCATTACACCCACAGTAATTGCTGGCTCGGGTGATGTTTGAGATGGTGGCGTGTGCACGTGTGTGCGAGTGCACACATGCATGTGAGGGGGAAGGAGCTATTACACTGTTAGTTTAGGTTTAGAATTCTAAAACTTAAACTGTTATTCTTCAATAAAGAGCTGAATCCAGCCTGCCTCTTTCTATTCAGTCAAATTCCAGACTTGAGTACTTCTCAGACTCCCAAGAGGGCCACACCCTGAAACAGTTCATCAGAATTACAGTTAGTGGGGTGCTGTGCTGGGCACGAGGAACTTGTCTGTGTATCCCCTCAATGAACCTTCCCAACCAAGCTGCAAAGACTAGTTCCCATTTAGAGGTGAGATTGAAGCCCGCTTTAACAGGTCACAAGTGGGTCACATGAACCTGGGTACTGAACAGATGTTGAAATAATACATTTCCAAAGTGGTGTTCTTTGACGGTTTACTTGATCCTCAACTCTGCACCCTGGCTTCCACCCGCACCCCCCAGGTTACTGTTTGCTTAGGGAAGTTATCCTCTGTAACTAATTTCTGCCAAGGTGCATTGTCCTGAGTATGGACTGGTTTCAGTTTTTATACAAACCAGAACATGTGTCTTAAATGATATGGTCCCTGCTTCCAGTTGGAGGGCCAGAGCTGCCGAAAGAGGTCTGTGTTCGAGTTGTGTTCTTTTGTTTGCATACAGGTTGTTTTACCAACAGCTGTAATTTCTTGGGATCCTGCAGTGGGACAAGCTTGAAGGAAGTATGTTTATTTATGGATTTTCTTCCCCCCATACCAAGCAAATAAGCTAATGTCTAAAAAGCAATTTTAATAATTAATACTAAAAAATAATCTTCCTAAGCAAAAATGAACCCGGGAATGTTATGCATAATTTACTATAGAAAGGTGTTCTCATTAGTACCAGCCACAAAGGCTTGTTGGGAGGAGCCGATGAAATGGTGTTGAGTGTGCCTGATGGTGAATATTCAGTGAAGAGCAATTTACAAAGAAGAAAAAAGGCATTTGGTGCTTCCTTGTTTTGTGCTTTCAGCTGTCAGAATTTCCTGTCCAGGCAAGCAGCTCCTAAGAAAATTTCAGATAGGAGTTAATGAGATTAAAGCAGTTTCCACTGTGAATGAGTTAAACCTCCTGAGGCATTTTCAAAATCTGCAGCATGACTATTGGGAACTGTCAGAATTTGTAGGATTCCTGATTAACTCCTCTCGCTTTCCAGTACTGTACCAGGGGATAAAATATATTTAGAAAGTGCTTCCCTGGTAGTAGCTACTATGGGCCTGGTGTGATACACAGATAAATCTGACCCAGATACAGGTCCTCCTTGGAAAGTCTTACAGTCTAGTCATGATAAAAGGTGGAGGGAAAAGGGTCATGCCAAAGACAGTTGCTACTGAAGATGGCATTTGAGCTTGTTGAACTCCTCAGAGAAGTTGGGTTGGATTTATACTCCAGATACAGATCTAGCATGAATAAAGGCAGGAATGTGAAACAGGAACAGTTCCTAGAGCACTGAAGAACTGTTTTGACTGGAGTTGAGGATAAAAAGGAATGTCTGATGGCACTGCAATAATCTAGGTGAGAATTGCAATGGTGGCAGAGGGAATGGGGGAGGGAACAAGTCCCAGAGATCTTAGGCTGTCAAAAAGATCTGTGGCCAAGATCTGGGGTGGGAAATGGGGCACAGAAAAGTTAAGTCAGTCATTAAAGCCACAATGTACTCATCCAAAAAGTTGGGACCATAGGACCTACTTCATAAGAGTTGATCTAAGAATTGGTTAATATATTTAGAATTGTGCCTAGCATAGTGTGATCTCAGTGTTTGATGTTACCATGAAATCATTCAGGAGCTTAAGTTGCTAAGTATCTGCATAATGAACAAAAGCAAACAAGATCCTTGCCCTTACTGAGTTTATGGTCCAGTAGCAGAGAAAAAAATTAAAACACAAGATATTTTCGAACAAATTCTACCAGGTATTGTGAAGGATAACAGGGAGCTCAGAACTATGCAGGAGGACCTTTGGGCCAGGGAAAGTTAACAAAGTGACATTTAACCTGAGACCTGAAACAGATCAGCTGAAACTCCTTTCAGATAACAAGGAAACTCCAGTTAGCATAGTACAGTTTAGGAAGCATTTAACTGCAAAGTCTCCAGCTAGTGAGAGCTGGCTGTGGGCCCAGCTAGGTGATAAGGCTCCAAGTTGTCACACCTCAGCTCACTCTTGCTCTCTCCTGCTCGGGGTCCATTCCCATCATGGTGAGAAGATGGTGACCAAGAGCTCCAGGTGTGTGTCTCTGTGCCCACCAGAAAAGAACTGGTGTTTCCTAGCAGTTCCCAAAGTCCAAGAATTGGCTCTCATGGACTTAATGGGTTATAATCTCATCACTGACAACACCCGTCAGGGATCCTGATACTGCTTGGTTGAGCCTGGAGGTGGGCTGTCAGTTCTTCAAGGAAAATATTTTTTCCTTTAAAGGGCTAGTAGTGGTGGGCAGACAAACCTCAGGCATCTGAAGAAAGATGGATGAGAGGGTGTTAGCTAAGCAGAGCAGGTAGGGAAAAGGAGCAGTGTGCCTGAAGCCCCGAAGCAGAAAAGGAAAGGAAAGGAAAGTTGGCCTGCGGGGCTGAGCACAAGGTGCAAGAGAACATGGAGAAGTAACCTAAAGGTCAGATTACATAGGATCTTGGATTTCATTTTGAGAGCAATGTGGAGACACTCCAAGGGTTTTAAGCAAGGAACAGGCTTGCAAGATCCTAACTTGATAAGCTGGAAGCATCATAGTTATAACAGAAACTAGGATCATAGCAGAAAAGCGGGAAGCGTCAGGGAAAGAAAAGTTTTAGACAAATGGAACTTGGGGGGCCATCACAAAACAATTGGGGGATACTAGCAGACAGCCAGAAATGTTTACTATAGCATTCTTTCTCATTTTAAAATACCCTTTGCTCTTCATCCCCCCCCCCCCCCCCTTTTTTAGCCCACTGCAGACCTCTGGTCCTAGGTCCTCTTAGAATTGATCAGTGCTGTCAATCAGTTTCACCACGTCCAGTGGTCAGTTCTCTTTTTCCACTTAGATTCTCCGCAATATTGACAGAATTGATTACTCTCTGTGAAATACTTTCTTCCTGCTTCACTGGCCTCTTCTCAACCCCCTTTGCTAGACTGCTCTGCCTTTTTCCATCTTCCAAAGTTAGGAGAACTCCAGGGTTCAGTCCTCAGTTTGCTTTGAATCTGCCCCTCCCTCCTCAAGCTGTCTCGTCTGCTCTGTGGATCTCCGCACATGTAGCTATGGATAACAGCGAACAAGAGTTTGACAGCAATTTGGAGTCTGTCCTATATAAAGTTGACCAGAGCTTTACCTTGAAAATAATTTATTTTACACTATACTTAAATATTCTAACCACACAGGAATTCCTAAAACAAAGAGCAAAGTTTTGTTTTAGTGATGATTTTCTGACAAGATGAAAAGCACCATGTGACAGGTTTTCACAATGAACTTCCAAGATACCATCATAACGGGGGGGGGGGTAGTCTTTATTTTTAGGATTTTATGTATTCATTTGTCAGAGCACAAGCAGGGGGAGGAGCAGCCAGAGGGGGACACAGGCTCCTTGCTGGTGAGGAGCCCAACATGGGACTTGATCCCAGGACTCTGGGGTCATGACCTGAGCTGAAGGCAGATACCTAACCAACAGGCGTCCCAAAAGAGGGTAGTCTTCACTGCAGTAGATTTCCCAAACCTAAGCCTTTGAAGCACCTTGTCACAATACTTGCAAACTGTTTCTTTTCAGCATTTGAACTGCTCTCTGCAATAGACCAGGTCCTTATTTTCCCTTTGGCTATAATCTGGAGTTTGCCAATAATACTTGCATGAACTTTGAACTACTTCCTGCTTATACTTAAATGGGAAGGATCTTGGGCTCATTGGACAGGGCAGCCTGAAGCTATCAAAGAGCTCGAGAGGCAAGGGTCTCCCGCCTCCTGGGCTCTCAGGTAACAAGACACAGAAGGGCACCCAGCCCAGGAAGAGTCATCAGAACCTTCCAGATAGAGGCTCAAGGTCTGCTGGGTGGCCAAACTGGAGAGGGCGCTTGGAGAGGTCAGCAGACATGTGACGGAAAGAGCTGATCTGAGAGGATAAAACTGACATGAAGTAAATAGCTGGGAGTAAAAACAACCACACATCCTGACGGGTGAGTCTGTTTCCAACTCTCTGAGACCTGCTATACACTTTTCCTCAAGTTATTTGAGCTGTTGTTTGTAGATAAGAGTCTTAAAAGCACTGCTGAAATAAATGGTGTGAAAGGCTCTGGGGGCAGTTGTGAGAGGAGACAGGACAAGGGCAGAGCCAGAATCAGGGAAGAAGCCCAGCTCCAGCCAACAGCAACACCACCTCACCATGAGATCAGGATGGCCCTGCGCAAGTAACAAACATTTTAAAATTTTAAATTATTTGCTCTGCTTCCTGATATTACTCAGCCATTCTGTCAGATTAGGCAGGGTAAATGTGAAATCAGTGAAATACTAATGATCTTTGAAAAGTGAGTAACTGATTAAGACCAAGGTTAAACTAAAGCAGATCTCAATAAAAAACATGACAGGGGCGCCTGACTGGCTCAGGCAATAGAGTATGCTGCTCTTGTTCTCAGGGTTGTGAGTTCAAGCCCCACACCGGGCATGGAGCCTACTTAAAAAACAAAAACAAAACAAACCATGTTATCACACCAGTGTCCATGATCATCTTCAATATGGTTTGGTTTTTAAGAAGGGGGGAAATGTAGGGCAATGTGAATAACAAAGTCCCGATCTGCTTTCAACTTTCTGTTCAGTTTCTATAGTGGGTGGGATCCATTAGAACTTCTGCAAAAAGATGCAATTTTTTTTAAAAAATCAAGCATAATTAATAGACACCAATAAAACAAATGATAGAATATTGTGGCTATATACTTTAACAATAATAAAATAACTGGGTATACATTCCCAATGATGTCATCCAACTGCTCGTGAAGTCTGAATTCCAGGGTTAACAAGCTCTGTATCAAAAGAGAGAAGGCTGTTAACCTAAGCTGCGAAATGGCAAATAAAACTTTTTTAGTACCCCCCCATATGAATGTTAATTTTTAAATGTTCTCAAATAACACGGGTAATTTCTTTAGAACGGTAACATACCTTCACCAGTTTTCTTTGTTGCCAACACCTTGGATGTTTGGTCCTTCGTGTTTAGTGGGGAGCCCTTTGCTGGGTGGCACGGCTTTCACTGCTACTGGAGTTGCTAGGTTTGAGTTGTATTTTGATAAAATCTGAAACAAAACATACTCCTTTTTAGCAAGTCATTAAAACAACACAACAAATTTGGAAGGTCTTTTAAAACATTCAAGGAAAGCCAACGAAAATTGAAAGATACGGGTTTTTGAAACTAATAATTTTTAGCCGCACAGACAGACAAACAGCAAAGAAAAGATGGAGTTATGAGAAACTGAATTTGGAGGCTTGATTTCTAAAGCCTTTTATAATGTACTCTAAGATTAATAGGAGTAAGCAGCAAATCATCTCTCAGAGCAAATTAAGCCTCTACAAAGTTGTTAGGGAAAATGTATATAGGAAAAAGGCAAGAGACATGCTCAAAAGATCATCAGCCCTTAAAGATTATATATTTTTCATTAAATACAAGGTTTCCCCTCTTCCATGTAGAAATAAAAAGAGAAGGATCAACCACAGTAAAGTGGAAACTCAAGAAAACTTCTTAAAGACCGAAGATGCCCACCCTACTTCTTATAATGCCCAGGAAAACCGAAGACAAAGAAAAAAGGGTAACAAATACTTTGTTGATTGTCACAGGATGAGTCTGCTCTAATGGCATTTAAGTATTCCTCCAAGTACTTTTTCATCCTTCTCACAGCTCTCCCAAACTAGGTCAGTTGCTAGAATGGTTCTTAACAATTCCACTTGCCTAAGCCATTCCACCAAGCACTGTACTTCCATTAAGGGGGGGGGGGGGATGACTGGTGGTTATTTAGCAGATCTGGCAGTTGGTATACAGACCAGTAATAGACTAGAGGTAAATGATGATATACTAAAGAATCAGATATCCTAACATTTAAATCAGTGTTTCTCAAACTGAGGTCCAAGATGTCTTGGGTTCAAGAAACGCTGATCTAAGTGGTTCAGGATACCCTACCCTGGAGAACGGGAGGGTAAACGACATTTCTGATTTTCGCCAGCCATACCTCCAATGGAAACAATGGCCAGCATGGCAACTGCGGTTGAACAATTATTACAAAATATTGTAAGAATACATTTCAGAACATGAAGTTAGAAAATACAGCGTGAGGACATAGAAGTATGATGAAGTCATGAGCTTGTACAGCTCAGAAGAGCTTCAGCCAGGTGCTCTCAGAAGGGCACAGAATTTGGATTTTCTCAGTACACAAAACAGCACATTAGCCCACTGAGAAATAAGACATTTTATATACAGTTTCAGGTCTTTAAATATCTAATTTTGAAAAGAATGTGTCAGAGAAAGAAATAGCATGGAAAAACAACCTGGAGAATATCTTCTGGAATGGTAGTCACTTCTGGAGGTGTAGGTGTTCTCAGCAGATTCTCATAAGAAGAAATTACAGGAGAAGAGGGATCCGCAAAACTCTCAAAACACTTGTCTGAATTTAAAACTAATGATGTACAGTCTTTCATTTCCAAATCATTTGATGAACTATTTGTTTTTGGTAATGGATAATCTGTGCACCCCTATTGAACAAAAATAAATCATTAAATTATGATGGTATAAAATACAGTGAACAAAAATTGAGTCAGTTTTAGTTCTGTTGCACGAAAGTGACATAGAAGTAAGCACAAAAATGACCTGTTCTTCCTCTACTAAAGAAAATTGAGAAAACAAAGAAATGGCATAGGGAGGACAAAATACCATCCTTTGTTACTAATAACAGCTGAGTTACAGCTTAATATGAAAACTAAACGGGCTTGACTGAACTAGATTTAGATCAATTCACCCACCAGTTTCGGGCAACACTAAGCTGGGCCAGGTGAGAGTAACAGCACAGATGAGCACAAGTGTTCCCAGCCCATCTGACGTAGCTTAGCATGAAGTTCATACTAAACTCACCAATCCAGTAGATCCCCCTCATCTCCCTAGGGTCAGAGTTAATAAAGAGGGAGAGTCACATCAGTACAGTGCCTTCCACACTGGAACACAAGGAGTGGATTAACTGTAAAAGGCAAGTACTAGCAGGCAATAACCCGAGAGGTACTTAGACTGATATGAATCGCATTTGGTTGGTCTAGAACAACACTGTCCAATACAGTAGCAACAAGCCACATGGGGCTATTTAATTTTAAATTCATCAAATTTTTAAAAATAAAAACTTAGCTCCACAGATATATGGTCACATTTTATGGACTGCACTGCAATTTTCTGGACAGTGCAGTCTTCTGCACTGGTTGTTTTTTAAGTATTCACAGCGACTTTAAAAAAGGGTTGAGATGCTTAAAGTAAGTTTGTTCATTGAGAAATATTTGGAAAAAGCCTAAAAAATCACCTGTAAATCTATAACCTGTAAATAATCACATTTTGATAGTTTTCATTCTTTTATTCTTTTTCCTTGAAATAACGTATATTGTGTGTTTGTATATCCATATGTATGCATGTCATTTTCCATCATTAAATATTTGAAAACATTCTTTATATGTTTTTATCTGTTCTTTAAAACATATAGTGTATTTCGCTTCTCCATTACCACTTGACATCCAGATTTTTCCCATTCTTTGCTCTTATAAGTAATGCTGTTCTTTATTCTATAACTTTATTATTATAATTCTTTGTGCCAATGTGCCTTAGAATAAATTCTGAGATACGGTTAGAGTGTAGAAAAAATTTTAAAGCTTTTGCTATACACTGCTAAATTCCCCTCCAGACAGGGTGCTTGGGTGGCTCAGTCATTAAGTGTTTGCCTTTGGCTCAGAGTCCTGGGATCAAGCCCTGCATCAGGCTCCCTGCTCAGCAGGAAGCCTGCTTCTCCCTCACCCACTCCCCCTGCTTGTGTTCCCTCTCTCACTGTGTCTATGTCAAACAAATAAAATCTTTTTAATAAATAAATAAATAAATAAACTCCCTTCCAGAAATAAGTAAAAATACTCGTAAAGCCTGCATTAATCTAAGTGTGTTTTTTTTTAAAGTGAAGTATAGTTGACATACAATAATCTAAGTTTTTAAACAGACTGTTGCAGTCTAGAAACAGTAGTGTATAGGAGTCATCAGGAAATAGACGAGAGCTTTCAATGTTACGGAACCGTACCAAAGCTGTATTGTTCTTTGTAGGAGGAATTTTCAAACCAGGAGTGCAGAATGTAGGTGCTAAGGGAGAATCTGCACAGTCAGCATCTAAAAGACATAAACAATGGCATGAAAAGATATATTTGAAAATAAAGTTGAAATGCTTATTTGAACTTTAGGTTATAAATGTAGTCAAGATAATTTGTGTACTTTATTCTTAATAACTTAAGAAATAGCTATAGTGTGAGCTTGACTAGACAGGAAGAAATAAAACTTCTTATTTGCTTATCTAGTTATCATCCGCACTAATAAAACCTCAGCAAGGCTGCAAGATATAAGAGCAATACATAAAAATGAATAGTTCTAGCAAAAGAACAACAAACAATTAAAAATACAATTTGAGAAAAGCCACCATCTGGGTGGCTCAGTCAGTTAAATGTCTGCCTTCAGGTCAGGTCATGATCCCAGGGTCCTGGCATCAAGCTCTGCATTGGGGTCCCTGCTCAGTGGAGAGCTTGCTTCTCTCTCTCCCACTGCTTGTGTGTTCACTCTCACTCTCCCTCTTTCTCTCAAATAAATAAATAAAATCTTAAAAAAAATTTTTTTTAACAACAAAGAAGACATGACACCTACATGTGACTCTATTAAAATCTATGATCTTTATGGAGAAAATAAAATTTCTGAAGAAGAAAAAGGAGGAGAGAGAGGGCAAGGAGATCTGCCTTCTAAGACTTCAATGGGGTTTTTCTAAAGCAGTAATTGAAGCAGTAATTGACTATCAGAACTTTTAGAAAGAGATCCCAGGAACAGAATCATGGGTATAGAGACATTTAATACCTCTACCATACATAGTATCATGAAAGAAATCTTAAAAAGAAGAAAAAAACCAATGAGGGGCACCTGAGTGGCTCAGTTGGTTAACCCTTGGTTTGGCTCAAGTCATAATCCATGGGTTGTGAGATCAAGCCCATATAGGACTCTGCACTCAGTGGGGAGTCTACTTGAATATTCTCTCCCTTTGCCCCTCCACCTGCACACACACGCAGTCTCTCTCTCTCTCAAATAAATGAATAAACCTTTAAAAAAAAATCAAAAAGAAAAAGTATATGTTAGAAAAATAACAAGACTGGCAAAAATTTATGAAGTCTAAAAATCATCAAGTGCTGGAAAAGATGGAGAAACAGAAATGTAAACACTGCTGGTGAAAATCAGGACAGCCACTCTCGAGTGGCAAGTTAGCATTTTCTAGAATAGGGGATGATGTGCATCCCATGTGCTTTAGAGGCTCCACTTCTAACATGAATAACACACATGTACAAGGAACAATTTCATCAGAGCACAATTTTGTCAGAGCACTGCCTGTAATAGTAAAAAACAACTACTTAATAAGCAAGTAAATAAATAAAATATGGCTTATTCATACAACACTCAACAATTAAAATGGATGAACTGGATTTACATGAATTGAGTGAAAAAAATCAAGTGGCAGAAGAACACAAATTGGATGTTGCAACTTAAATGAAATTTTCAAACAACACAACTCTAGAATAATCATCAATTTAGGGTAGGAAGGGAAGGAGAATAACAGAGTGAGGATTTAGCTTTAGGTATAACATGAAGATGAAGATCTGGAGCAAATTCAGTAAGATGCTAACATCTACCTAATCCGAAATTTCCAAGTACACACCAAAACACCTGGGATTCTAAGACCAGCACAGACAGAAGTTAAGGGCCCAGGCTCCAACGTAGGAGGCACTGAAACAGAGCATGTATCAAGCCAAGAGCCGGGAAGAGCAGTGAGGTATGTGAAACAGAGACTGGAAAATACCTGTCCACCGGCGCCAGCTCCAGCGGACAGGATGAAGTCAGCCAGGCTAAGGGTTAAGTCTTCAGAAAAGACTGAAAATCAGAATATCAACCCTACCCAGTGCAGCATTGTGGGGTTCTAGGTTCACCCTAGGAGTCCAGTGCAGGCATCCTGAGTCCAGCAGTTCACCCAAAAACCTGTGTGCAACTGGTAAACCATGGGGCCTTGGCTCGGGTGAGCATGAAACAGCTCCACAGGACAACCTGTGACTCCCAGAACTTCATTGAAAACAGTGTCACCAGAAGAGGAGTTCACAGTTAAAAATTAAAGGCTTGTGAGGAAAGGCACCTCCAGGAAAGAACAGAGCAAAATAAAGAGAAGTATCAACACTTTAAATAAACAGTCTTCCAGATACATATATTTAAAATATTCAAAGAGATAAAGGAAGGCACAGAAATTACGAGGCAAGAGAACAGTAATATGGAACGGAAAAAGAACAGTCACATTTGAAAGAAAAACGTATAAAACAGAAAACATCACCGGAGTAAAAATTTAATAGATTAAAATAGTAATTTAGACTCAGGGTAAGAGAAAAATAGCAAAATGGAAGAAAGTTCTAACTAAAGCACAAGGTAGCATAGACAAAAGGAAGGAAAATATCAAAGGGAAGTTAACCAAGGAGACTGAAGAATAACATTCTAAAATACAGTGTACAGGAAACCCAGGAGAAAAAAAATTGAGGAATTAGGGGAGAGGTAATTTTGTTAAAGAGATAATCTCAGAGTATTTTCAAAAATTAATGACGTGGGTCCTTAGTTCGAAAATCATACCAAATTCTAAGCATAAAAGAGTAAAAAAAAAAGGTATTTTAAAATTATAGAAAAATGTAGACTGTCAAAGATATTGACAAAAATCTTACTACCAGGAAGAAAAGACCAACAATCTACAAACGAATCAGACCCACAGCATTCTGCTTATCAGCAATGGACAACAGATGACAATGAAATAATTTCTTTATAAAATATTGAAGAAAGTCAGCTGTCAACCTACTGTCTATAACCAGTTAAATTATTGTTAAAAAATGAATGAGAAAGAAAAATTAAAAAAAGTCTTCAGACACAAAACCAGAGATGACTTCTCGCAGACTAGAAATAACATCTCTGAAAGAAGTGCTGATGGATGTGCTTTAACAAGAAGAAAACTAAACCCAGAAGGAATGAGTGGGATATAAGAAGCAAGAGTAAGTAAAGAAAATGGTAAACGATTTACTAAACCTTCCCAGGTATGGACTGCAATAATGGTACTTTTGTGGCCTAAGAACAGGGTCAAGCTAAAATACAACAGAAACTCTCTTAACAAGCCTCCACTTAACCAAAGTACTAGTGGATAAACCTGAGCTTGCCATTCCTTTCACAAAATACACTGCCTGTGGTTACTGAAGACTTTCAGTCAGGAAGCTATTCTTTAAAAATCCATCCCACTTCAGAAGTTACATAGATATTCCCCTCCTTCATCATTTTCTAAAAGTTTGCTTCCGCTGGGAATTAATTCTGGGTCTGTATGAGGTGGTGGTCCACTCTCTCCCTCTCTTTGGTACAGGCAGGCTCTTTCCAACAAGCTGAGGTCTAAGTTTACTAGAAGTCATTTGTATTTTTTCACTTCTGTGTATGCCAGAAGTACCTGATAATTTAAAAACAGATGTAATAACACATTTCATATTTAATAATTTAATAACATTTAACTTAATTTAATAACATGTCAGTGAAATTAGTATGAAAAGAGAATTTTTCTGAAAATATGTTTATAAATTTGGAAAGACCTGATGAAGACAAGTTATTTCAAAAAATATGCCAATAAATTTATATAGACAATTGTAAACTAAAAAAATCACAAACTCTAGAATTTTTTACATTTTTGTGAAAACTAATGTTTTCATGTTTCGTGGGACAAATATGAAAACACTACATGAAAATTTTCTTTCAGATATTGTAGTATTTTAAAAAAACAGAATTTGAAATGGTAGCTAATGTATTCTGAGTGTGGTTTATATAAGAAAAAATAATGTAGAATTCTAATCATTAGGCTGATGCTAAGTTTTAAAAAGGTACTACTGAGGGCAGCTGGATGGCGCAGTCACTTAAGCATCCAACTCTTGGTTTTGGCTCAGGTTGTAATAACTGGGTTGTGATCTCAGGGCTGTGAGATCAAGCCCCGAAACCAGCTCTGAACTCTGCGTGGAGTTACTTAAATTTCTCTCCCTCTCCCATTGCCCCTCCCCTCTAAAATAAATAAATAAATCTTTTTAAAAAAGGTACTATTGGTTTTGTATCAAAAGTTTGGTAACTGAATATATATATATGTTTTTAGTAAGCTTGTTAAAAACAACAAGCCAAGATACTGACTATAATCAGGAAAAATATGAAAAACATACCAGAGAATTATATCTTTCTACAGTATGAAATCATGTTGCACCTGATGGGATGATACTTTATATAATTCAATGTTATGAACTGAAAAGATGCAGATACAGTACCATTTCTGTACAAAGATAATCTAGAAAGAGGATAGCTGAGAAGTAATGTGATTGTTATACTTACCATTTTTTTTCAACTGCTGGAGGCCAGGAGTGACAAAGAAATTATCACTGGTCATTGGTTCTGGTTCTGTGGCCTCTTCCCTGGTGTGAATCATAGGGAAATTATAAGTTTAAAAAAAGTTAATATTGAACCTCTGGAGGAAAAAATCAGTCTTACTGGGGCGCCTGGGTGGCTCAGTGGGTTAAAACCTCTGCCTTCGGCTCAGGCCATGATCCCAGGGGCCTGGGATCAAGTCCCGCATCCGGCTCTCTGCTCAGCGGGGAGCCTGCTTCCCTTCCTCTCTCTGCCTGCGTCTCTGCTTACTTGTGATCTGCCTGTCAAATAAATAAATAAAAATCTTTATAAAAAAAAATCAATCTTACTATATGTCATCAAGTCTGGACAAACATTCAGTTCTGTTTTACCGAACAGAAGTCCCATGGACCTAATCTTTTTTTTTTTTTTTTTTAATTAATGTATACCCACGGGTCAAAAAAGGTTATACACCATTTTGTATTGACAGGTATGACTTAGAAGCAGGTTAAGAAACTCTGACCTGGGATGCCTGGGTGGCTCAGTCGGTTAAGGGGCTCAAGTCATAATCCCAGGTCATGATCAAGTACCACATCAGACTCCCTGCTTGCTGAGGTGCCTGGTTCTCTTTCTCCTCTGCCTACTTGTGCTCTAAAAAAAAAAAAAAAGAAAGAAAAGAAAAGAAAAGAAAAGAAACTCTGACTTAATGGCAAGCCATAAGTTTAACTCATTAGTTCAAATATAGGAATTATATAGCTCATGGTTTCAAAACCATGAAGTGGAATTTTGCAATCATAACCAGACATAAATTAAGAACTTTTCATTTTTTTGGACTAAAAAGACTGATCCTGTCATCTAGTTACTAAAGGTATTCCAGTCAATTACCCAGATGTCTGAAATACAGTTATAAAGAGGAGTGTCATCAAGTATTATAAGCTGGTTCAATTAACCAATTGTCCTAGCATAATTTTTTTTTTAAAGATTTTATTTGTCACAGAGAGAAAGAGAGAGAGAGAGAGAGGAAGAGAGAATACACTGGGAAGCGGCAGTCAGAGGGAGAAGCAGGCTCCCCACTGAGCAAGGAGCCCAGTGCAGGGCTTGACACCCCCCACCAGCCAAAGGTAGACAATTAACTGAGCCACCCAGGCATCCCTGTCCTAGCATAATTTACTGAACATTCTTATTCAAAAACACCTTCTTATATAAATTATATAAATTTAGAGTTGGTTTCTGGGCTATTCTATTCTAGTTATATATCTATTCTGGGACAGTTTTACACTGTTTTACTTATTATAGCTTTATATATTTTCATATTAGGAGGTCAAATTCCCTCATTATTCTTACTCTTCATTATTTTTTTAAGCTACTCCTACTTTCTATTCTTCCAAATAATTTTTTTAAAAAGATTTTATTTATTTGACAGAGCTAGAGAGAGTGAGAGGGAACACAAGCAGGAGGAGTGGGAGAGGGAGAAGCAGGCCTCCAGCCAGGTAGGGAGCCCAATGCAGGGCTCGATCCCAGGACCCTGGGATCATGACATGAGCTGAAGGCAGTTGCTTAACAACTGAGCCACGGAGGTGCCCCTATTCTTCCAAATAAATTTTAGAATCATTTTATCAAATATCCCTTTCTCCTATTATCCATTATCCTAATGAGGCTTTGTTGTAAATGCATGACATCAGTAAGTTAATTTGTTGTGATTAAACATCTTAGCAATATTCAGTCCATTTTCAGATGAAGAAAAACACTACATTCCCTAATTCCCCCTTTACATAATTCAGAAATGTCTTACGGTTTTTAATCACATAGACCTTTTTACCTATCACTGATGTTGGTATTTTATTTTGTTTTTTTCCACTTTGTTTAGAAAATTTTTTTTTTAAAGATTTTATTTATTTATTTGAGAGAGAGAGCAAGACCCAGGGGAGAAGCAGAGGGAGAGGGAGAAACATACTCCCCACTGAACAGGGATCCTGATGTGGGGCTCAATCCAGGGACTCTGGAATCATGACCTGAGCTGAAGGCAGACACTTAACAGACTGAGTCACCCAGGTGCCCCCAAAATTATGTTCTAATAAAATAAAGGAAAGCACATTATTTTACATAGTTATAACTGTATAAAATATATCAGTCTCTTTCTTGAAATTTTAGATGAGTTTCTTGAGTAGCCCAGGTAAAAAACATGGCCTAAACATACTTCTTACTGGCCAGATATCAAGAATGACATTAAATGATGGTGACAGATAGCTTCATTATTGAGATACCCATAGTTTATCATGTTAATGAAGTATTGTATTTTGAGTTTGACCAAGCATTTTAAATGAGGAATGAGTGTCAGATTTTCTCAAATTCCTTATTGGTATCTATTGGGATTATCCTTTCTCTTATAAAGGCATTAAAATAATGTATTTTATGAGTTTCCAAGTATTAAACTATCTTTGCATTCCTAGGATAAGCTTAACTTGAAAGTTGTTCACTACACTTTTAATATTCTGCTAAAATCAATTTGTGAGTATTTTAATTGGGATTTTACATCCATATTCTAAATTAGATTGGCTATACTTTCCTTTTGTGTGCTTTGTCAGGGTTAGTATCAAGGGTATGTCAACCTCATAAACTAAACTGCAGCATTTTTCTGTCTTATTCTACTTTTAGAAAAAGAATTTTTTTTAGTCTATGCTCCAATAAAACTTTATTTACCAAAAAATGGGCAGCAGGCTGGATTTGGCCTGCAGCAGTAGTTTGTAGACCCCTGATAATGAGTTCCTCTTAAAGGTAATTATTTTTATAGCATCTCATTCTTAAGGCAATTTATAACTTTATTATCCACTCTATTCCACTGACTCAATGTGGTAAGCAGCAATGGGTATGGTTATATACATTTTACTAGTGAGAAATGGAAAACGGAGGTTTTATGAATCTGAAGAGTCCAGGTGAGATGCTGAGATCCACAATACAATGTATATCCCCTCCTCAGGAAAATAACTTTTTATGTAAGATGAAATGTATATATTCTATGAAATTATGAAAGGATTCATCCAGAAAACCATCTGTGCTCAGAGCTTTTTGGAGTTAGTTCTTTGATAGCTTTTTTGGTTTTCTTCTCTTTTGGTCTGTACAGGTTTTCTATTTCAAGCTGATTTTGATAACTGTGTACTATTTCAAAAAATTTTCAATTATCTTAATTTTCCATATTTCCCAATACTAACCCCTATAGTATTTTTAATATATTAAAAAATAATAAATATAGCCCTTCCTTCCTAATTCTGCTATTTGCATTTACGTTTAAGTATGAACCAGTTCTTCGATTTATCAACACTACTCTTCTAAAAATCTTTTATAATCACATTTTATCTTTGGTGTTTACTCCCTTCTCTTTGTCCCACAACAAAGGTTTTTGAGGTTTTTACTTGACTCCTTAGGTTGAATGTTTATTTGACTTCTTTAATAATTACAGTTCTTAACCATACGGATTTATCTTTAGCTCTTGCTTGGCTGCTTTAATATGGGGCATTTTCATTTTCATTGTAACTCTTTAAGTACCACTTCCACACTATTCACTCCACAAAAATGGGTCACTGAGCTTCCAATTCATATTAAAATACCTACACTCAAGAACACCTCTACCGGGACCTCTAAATCAACATGGAAATACATCCACCTTTAACCGAGGCTGCAGGTTTTCCTGTCTTCATTGTTTTCCCAAGCATCATCACAGGTAACAAAACCGAAGTCTGTGATTTATCCTGGATCCCCAAGTCTTTCCCCACATCTCCATGCAAAATCATTCACAGGTTCTTACTGACTCTACCTCTTCTCTATCCTTCCAAATGCCAAACCCTATCAATTACTCCTACAGCATCTAATTGGAAATCCAAGAGCTCACACTTTACTCATGGAATTGGTGATTCAGGGAAGTTTGAAATGTAGTTTCTGAGAAGCATTTGAAGGAAAGTTACTGTCTGAAATGTCTTATCCCTTCTAGGAAAAATCAATCATACAAAAGATTTAGAAAGTTAGATAAAATGTGCCTTTTATGAAAGTGGCTTACCTTTTATTCTCCTTCATATTTTTAAGTCCCATTGTGTAATCTTCATTTAAACAGACAGTATAGTCAGAGATACCGAAGTGTTCTAATTTAGGAGTTACACACTCAAAATCATCCATCTTCAGAGCACATTTTGGAGTTTTTAGTACTTTAACTAGTGACTGTTTAGAAGATGGAGTTAAATTTTTTGGCTCTTCCTCATGGTCATTTACTGCCCGTGGAGGGTTTGGTGGAACTTGGGATATCATGTACCGTTCAAGTCCAAAATCGGAAAGTTGTGGACTCCGTGGAGACCTCTCAGAACCAGAAGTCCTCGGAATAGCAGGATCAGATAGACTGTCCTTCACATCAGGCATTTGAAAATTTTCATGCTTAGTGGACTCTGATTCAGAGTCAATGATTTCTTGTTCATCCACTGTGAGGAAGAACCAAGGAGGTCATATTTTGGTCAAACATCAAACCACAAAATTCCATGTACTAAAACCATATACAACAGCTCCATTTGAAATGTCCCAAATCAGCAAAGGTCCTGATTCCCTCCTTAGTCTCTAGAGTTTTATTTCAATTGTCCCTTTAGGAAATTTCTGACATGTACCTTTTGTGTAGCCATATCCCATTTTGAGGACATTTAAGAAGTAAACTAAAATGTTAAAAGATGAAAAAATCAATGCAAATAAAAGTCCAATATCTTTACTTTCTCAGTTACTGTGATTTACCCATCTCTCTTAATAGATTGTAGAATCATTTTACCATTTTATGACATTAAGCACAGGGTGGAATTAATCATGATCTAGATTTAACATGAAGTATAGTATTATTTTAGATTTTTCATTTATAGATGCCTAACTTAAAAAGGAAAGACTATTACACCAAGATAAATTTTTATCCTCAGTCTGGAACACACGTAACAAAAGTCTGGTTGAAGAAAATGACAGGAGAGCATTAGAAAGACATATAGTTTCTCAACCCTGAGTAGGTTATATCTGGCTCCACACCCCATATGCCTAACCACCACACTGAGCATTTCAGACTAAATAACTGAATAACAACTACGCTTTTCCCCACAGTCCTTTGCCATTCCTTGCATACATTAATGGTTTTTTTTTTTTTTAAGATTTTATTTATTTACTTGACAGAGATCACAAGTAGGCAGAGAGACAGGCAGAGAGAGGGAGGAAGCAGGCTCCCCTCTGAGCCGGGAGCCCGATGCGGGGCTCGATCCCAGGACACCGAGATCATGACCTGAACTGAAGGCAGAGGCTTTAACCCACTGAGCCACCCAGGTGCCCCGCATACATTGATGGTAAATGAATTTGGTGTGGGACCCAAGTGACAGTTAAAAGGTCTGGGATAGCACTATGATGCCAAGAAAGATTAAGAAAGAGAAATAACAGGTTTTAATGCAAGACAACAGAAAGTCAAAGAGGCTAACCAGAAAGAAGGTAACTGGAAATCGGCCAGGATCTGGGCAGAGATTAACTTAAGAAAGGACAGGGCTTCAGTGAGATAACAAGGTGTGGAGAACCGAACAAGTGTAAGAAAATGCAGGACAGATGTAAAACGTGTAGCATGCAGTGGAGAAGAAAATGAACCAGTAATTAGAAAGGGTACCAGAAAGGAAGAAAAAATGGAGGAGTTGAGATGAAGGAAGACAAATAAAAATGTGTTTAGACACCCGCCCCCCCAGCCGGGACAAGCATTTGAATGTTTCACTCCATTTAATTTTTTTTTTTTTAAGATTTTATTTATTTATTTGACAGACAGAGATCACAAGTAGGCAGAGAGGCAGGCAGAGAGAGAGGAGGGAAAGCAGGCTCCCTGCTGAGCAGAGAGTCCGATGTGGGGCTCGATCCCAGGACCCTGGGATCATGACCTGAGCCAAAGGCAGAGGCTTTAACCCACTGAGCCACCCAGGTGCCCCTGAAAGACCCCATTTTAACTACAGACATTCCTTTAAAAGATGAAGTGAAGAAAAACAAGAAAGGTCATTATCAGACTTGCAAAAATATGTTCCAATTCATAAGAAAAGTACAAATACTTTATTCTTTTTTTTTTTTTATATTTATTTATTTATTTGACAGACAGAGGATCACAAGTAGGCAGAGAGGCAGGCGGAGAGAGAGAGAAGCAGGCTCCCTGCTGAGCAGAGAGCCCGATGCCATGCGGGGTTCCATCCCAGGACCCTGGGATCATGACCTGAGCCGAAGGCAAAGGCTTTAACCCATTGAGCCATCCAGGCGCCCCCAAATACTTTATTCTTAAAAAGAATGCAACAGGGGCGCCTGGGTAGCTCAGTTGGTTGAGCGGCTGCCTTTGGTTCAGATCATGATCCCAGGGTCCTGGGAACGAGGCCCGTATTGGTCTCCCTGCTCCAAGGGAAGCCTGCTTCTCCTTCTCCCTGCTGCTCTGCCTACTTGTGCTGTCTATCTTTCTGTCAAATAAATAAATAAAATCTTAAAAAAAAAAAAAAAAAGAATGCAACAAATTATGGAGAAACTTTTTCCCATTTCTTTCAATATGTGCAGTTGTTACAATTCGTATTTCCAATTTGGCAACCAAATGTTATCTATTCAAGGTCATCTAAAAGAGATCTTTGTATGAACTCCCTCCCTCCTTATTCTTTTTATTTATTTATTTTTATTTATTTATTTTTTTAATTTTAAAGATTTTTTTTTTAAAGATTTTATTTATTTATTTGACAGAGAGAGATCACATGCAGGCAGAGAGAGAGGAGGAAGCAGGCCCCCTGCTGAGCAGAGAGCCCGATGCGGGGCTCGATCCCAGGACTTTGAGATCATGACCTGAGCCGAAGGCAGCGGCTCAACCCACTGAGCCACCCAGGTGCCCCCTCCCTCCTTATTCTTAAATAAATCTTTAAAAAAATAAAAAATAAAAATAAAATGGGGTCTTTCAGACATTAGTACAGAACCATCCCAGAATCCTTTAGATCCAAAGGAATAGAAAAAGGATAAATTTAGGCTATACATTTCCTGGTCCAGCTAAGAGATCCAACAGACTGGAGGAAGTTAAGAGGAGCACTTTTTTTTCTTTAAAGATAGGATTTTCTTTGTTTTGACTGGTAATAGGAAATGAACTAGGATAGGGTACTATTTTTATATGCATGATAAACAAGGATGTATTAAATATGGAGTATGTACTTTTTAAGGGCCTACTTAGCCAGAGCAAGCCATTTTGTTGTTTATGCAGTAAACTTAGATTGAACCTGCCCCTTCCCCCGCAAGAGGAAAGCGATTAGAAACAGAATTGGTGAAATACGGCTAAATAGCCCCAATAACGGAGCACAGATACCAGGACATGTCAGGCTGGGCAAAAATAACGGAGCCCAGATACAAGGACGTGTCCAGCCAGGTGGAAACGTCCAATCAGTGAAAGCGCACGCATTACCTCCCTACCCGCCAAGGACATGTTCGGCCAGGTAAAGACATCCAATCAGGAAAGCACCTCCCTAACCACCCAAGAATGTGGGCCCTGCCTTTTGGGCGCCAATTCTGACCAGGGTGATAGGCTAGTTCAAATAACTACTATGGGGTAGAATGTAATTCAATTGGCCACCTGTGTGTGGCCAGGCTCCACCATATGGCCTTTACTCTATAAAAATTAGTCTGTGAGACTGGGAGGGGTCGCCTCTTTGCAAGAGACGGCCCTGGCCGGTCAGTCTGATTCTCAATGCTTGGCGCGAAATAAAGCTTTGCTTAACCTTCGCCTTGTATCAGTCTCGTCCTTTTGTCTACCATACCAAAAAAAAAAAAAAAAAAGTTACAGACTTTGGTTTCTTGACTTTTGGCCCCTGGAAGAGCTGCTGATTACTTTCTGTTTAGGCATTGTGCTTTCTGTTAATTTGGAGAAATGTTATAAAAGCTACCAAAAACCTATTCTTGTATTTATCACAAGGTTATCACTGATGAGATTAATAAAATCATCACCATATCAGTGCCTCTTGGGAGATATTATCATTCCTACTTTGCAAGTGAGGAAAAAGCAATTCAAAGAAATTATCCAGGGTCAAACACATGTAGTAACTGGTGGAGCCAGTACTTAAATCCATAGCTTGTTCACAATTAAGTCAACTGAATTCTTTCCACTGTACCATGCAGACTGTTCAATTTACCCTCCACACATATCCTCAATATACATTTGCTGAATTTAATTAATGGTTTACTTATGTACAGAGATCATTCTCTTCACAGAAACAAAGACAATGAAGCATACTGAAATTAGTCATTCATAGGTATGGGCCTAACAGTACTTAACACAGGGTGATTAACACGCCAGGTACTATTCTAAACAAATTTTATCTCATTCAATCCTTATACAACCTCAGAGGTAGATACTATTAAACATCTCCACTTTACAGATGAGACACTGAGGTACAATGCTCAGTAACTGGTCAAAGATAATACAGCTAATAAATGACAGAAATAGAGATTTGCATTCAGATTATGGGTGAAATTCTAAACCACCATTCTATACTAACCTTCTTTAAAACTGTAGAACTTAAAAAGGACTTTTCAATTTATAACCCCCAAATTTCTCATTCTACAGAAGAGAAAATTGAGAAGAAAAAGGAAATAGCATGCTTTAAGATTAGTCCCTCAGCTATTTACTGGCAAAGCTGTCTAGAAACCAACTATCCTAAAATCATGTAGATTTATATCTTGTACTCTTCTTTTACCTAGTACTTTGGAAAGGAGAGCAAGGACTGTCTTTGTTTTACACCACCAATCAGCACTGCATCCACCACGGCGATGAATAAATAATAATCATGCATGACGGTCATAATGGCAGAGCTAGAACCAGAAAGCATGGCCAAGCCCAGAGTAGTCATATTTAATCATGCAGGCTTCCTCCTTTAATACGAAACAAATACCATAAAATACAAGTTGTCCACACCTGAATCTTTCTTGGCACGTGGATTATATCCATACTTCTGGAAAAACTCTCTTATTTTCATGATATCCACTGAATTTTTTTTCATCAGTACTTTTGTTGCCTTTATGAAACCAATGCTTTCTTGACTTTCCAAACTTGCTTGATCAAGAAGAATACTGACATCATCCTTTTATAAGGAAAAAAGTACATTATAATTTCTGTCTTTTGACTAAGTCTATTTAGATTTTAAAAATTATGACACAAAGATGATACATTAATATTGCAGAAGCTATACCTTTAGAGTCTGGACTTCTGAATGAAGGTCATATAAAATTCTCATTGGATAATCTTCACAGTCTTCAATATGAATAGAGAAACGAAAAAGTGCAAAATAGAAAATATAATTTAGTGTTGTTTCCCAGAATAAAATCCTTGTCAATATTTACTCATAATTTATCTGTCAATTACCCCCCACCAAAAAAAAAAGTTAAGGCCTTTCTTTTAAAATTTATGAAATTATAATGTACAAAAATCATAAGTATATAGCTTCATAAATTTTGAAAGCAAACATACCCTACATAATCAGTACTCAGATCAAGAAGGAAGAAGGGAAGAAGGGAGGGAGAAAGAGAAAATGTAATCTGACTTAGCAATTTTTTTATGGTGAGAACCTTCTGGTTCCTAGTTTTAAAATCTCTGCCAATGAAAACACTTACATTTTCTTCTAAGTGCCTTATTGTTTGCCTTTTGCATTTAGAGCTACAATCTACCTATAGCTACAAGCTACAATACAATCTAATTGATTTTTTTTATATAGCAAGAGGTAAGGATCAAGATCCATTCTTATTTTCCATGAGTGTCCAACTAGCCTGACACCATTTATTGAAAAGACATCCTTCACCCACTGTACTGTCACCTTATTAATCAGTTGCAGTATGTATAATATACATCATGTAAAAGCAGTTTTTTAAATAATTATATTTTTCTTTCTAAAATACACCTCCTTTGAAGATGTCCTTTCACTGCTAAAAGCTGACCAATTTTCATTTCAGAAGTGCAAGTCAACACAATGGTGATACTTCATACCCACTAGAATGACTATATTCAAAAAGACAATAATAAATGAGGATGTGGAGAAACTGCAACCTTCATTCATTGCTGGTGGAAATGTACAATCATGTATCCACTTTGGAAAACAATTTCGCAGCTCTTCAAAAAGATAAACATAGGGTTATCATATGACCCAGCAGTTCTACTTCGAATCACATAGCAAAGAGAACTGAAAACATTATGTTCACCCAAAAACTCACTCATAGATGTTTACATACATTCATAATAGCTGCAAAGTGGAAACAACCCAAATGTTCATGAACTGATAAATAAACACAGTGGGCTGGTATAGCTATACAATGGAATATTATTCAGCAATAAAATGAAACAAGGTACTGATACATGCTTATGACATGAATAAACCTTACAACATTATGCTAAAATAAGTCAATCACAAAAGCCCACAAATTGTATGATTTGTTTTATCTGAAATATCCAGAATAGGCAAATTTATACAGACAGAAAATAGATTAGTGCTTGCATAAAGCTAGTGTGGTAGGTGGAGGTGGGACTATGGGGAGTGGATATTAACAAGCAAGAGAGTTTCTTTTGAGGGTGATGAAAATCTAAACTTACTATAATGGTTGCACAACTCTGTGAGTATATCAAGAACCGCTGAATTGTATCCTTTATTTCTTTAAAGATTTATTTTAGAGAAAGAGAGAGCATGCGCAGAGGGAAGGAGCAGAGGGAGAGAGAATCCCTAGCAGACTCCATGCTGACTCATCACTTTGATCATAATAGGTGAGATTTTTTGGTGATCATTTTCTCTATCACAATTCCATATTTTCTGTAATACATGCTGGCTGCAAATAGAAAAATCATTCTAACTTTTTCTTATAAAACCAGACGAAAATGCAAAATGTCTGTACACAGTTAATATGCTGGTAAAAGGGTAAATTGGCACAAGCTTTGTGGAAATCAATTCAGCTATATCTCAAGAATCCAAAAAGGCACCTAGCTGGCTCAGACCCTTGACTATGTGACTCTTGATCTCAGGGTCAAGCCCCTCTATGCCTGATGTTCAAGCCCCACATCAGGCATAGAGCTCAACAAAAAAAAAAAAAAAAAAAAAAAGAGAGAGAGAGAGAAAGAAAACAAAAAATAATAAAATACTAATAGTGGTGTCTTTAAGTGGTTGAGTTATAGGAAATATTTATTTTCCTCTTTTTACTTTTGCATATATATCTCAAAATTTTGCCATGTACATGTATTGTTTTACAGTCAATAGAATAAATATTCTTAAATAGCTGGAACACTTCATAATATAACTAAAGTAAAAGGAGTCTGTGTCTACAGGGTGCAATATTTTAAGGCAAATAACAATTATGACATTTATAAAATAATCTCAAAATCTGAATGAAACAATTTAAAAAATTCTAGCATAAAGATTAGTGGTGAAAAATTCTGCTATATTTATTTTTTTAAAGAGCAGTATTCAGGGGTGCCTGGCTGGCTCAGTCTCATGAGCATGTGACTCTCAATCTCTGGGTCTTGAATTCGAGCCCCACATTGGGTGTAGAGGAAGGAAGGGAGGGAGAAAGGAAAAAAGCAGTACTGAGTCCTAGTGTTTGTGTTAGCAATACTGTTTGATGAAAAAACACGGACATTTCCTGCAACTGTGAACAATTTGGGTGAGACAAAGTCACTGTGCATCTAAAGAACCCTGCTAAATAAATGCATTTTGTTTTAATATATTGTATTTTTATTGATAAATACCCATTATATGTGACTTGAAAGCATATCATGTACGCATTATGAGCTCAATCTGTCAATTTACATTCTTAGTCTATGCTGTTTCTCTTCGCAACACAGTAATAGCGCTATTTCATTATTTGAGGAGAGCAAATGTAGTCGTACATAAAAGTGGAAACAGCCACAACATACTTGAGGGGCGCATAAGAATAAATAATGAAAAGGTGACACTTGTCACCTCGGAACTCTGCTAATATGGAACATTTTGATAGGAGTACCACCCCCCATTCCGTATCTCTTTCGAAGCACTCCTCACCATTGTAGACAATAACCTTTCTGCAAGTGTGTGCGTTTTCACTTGTTAAGGTCCTTTTCAAATGCCGCACTCCTGGCTGGCTGGGGCGGCCGAGTGGGTCGTAGTAGCCGCGATCTCCCCGACGCCCGCCCACTTCACTCACCGCTCTCCTCTCCGTCCAGTGCTCGCTGCAGCCGAGCCGTCTCGCTGTCTAGGGTGATGGCCAGGGACCGTAGCTTCGCGTGGAAGCTTTGGATCAGATCCATGGGTAAGGACTCCTCCGCGGTACACTAGACGCTAGGAGATCCCACCCGTCCGCTTGAGCCCGCCACTAGTTTGAATCTTTTTGCGCCGGAAACATCCCTGTGTCCGCGGAGTCGCTCAAGTCCTCGCTCGCGAGAGCTGAGGTCTCGCGAGAAGAGGCAAGGCCGTTCCGAGGGACGGGCGTACTTCCGGGGTCGCGTCCGCTCTCCTGCGGAGGACAGGAGGTCACCCGTGGTCACCTGAGGGCCGCAGCCGGTGAGTTGGTTGGCATATTTGGTTTTTTCACGAGTCCCTTTCTTCTCACTGTCGCGCCTAGCTGGGATCCCGCTTTGTATGGGGTGCGGTGTGCGTTGTCGGGTTTGGCCGAGTGGCAAGAGAGCCGGTTTTGAGCTCGCTCGCCTTGCTTCTTCCGCGGCCAAACGCGTCGTCAGTGTTTGTGCGACTTCTGCCGTCTCAGCAGGTACCATGTTCCTGACCGCCCTCCTCCGCCGCAATCGCATTCCTGGCAGACAGTGGATTGGGAAGCACCGGCGGCCGCGGACCGTGTCTTCCCAGGCGAAGCAGAACATGATCCGTCGCCTGGAGATAGAGGCGGAGAACCACTACTGGCTGAGCATGCCCTACCTCACCGCGGAGCAGGAATACGGCCACGCCGCGGAGCGCAGGGCGGCGGCCTTCGAGGCCATTAAGGCGGCCAGCATGTCCAAGTTCCCCCCACACAGATTTGTGGTAGACCAGCTCGACCATCTCAATGTCTGCAGAAAGTGGTCCTGACCCGGAGGCAGTCACCGGGCTGCCACCTCTGGACTGATTCTGGAACCGAAGGAGGGGGAAAAATGATCCTTTGGACCAGTCTTATTGAACAGCATGAGTATAGTGGTCTGCATATAGAATATCTGGGGCTCCAAACTCTTTAATAAAACTTCATAGTTCAATCTCTGTGACAGTGTTTCCTTTTCCGTCACCCTGATGGGAAGATACAAGAGATTTCCTAAGTCACAGAGGGTATAGAATGTATTCCGGATGAAAGCTTCAAAAAAAGCTACGAACTATGGTTTGGAATCTCTGTTTAGTTGTGAGATACTTGATGGGGCCTTACCTTTCTTACGAAGAATAATTGCCTGAACATAAGTGGAAAAAAAGTTTTTTTGGTTAAATATACTCCTAAAAATAGCATTTTCTTCTGGGATCGCTACTAAAAGATACTTAAATGAAGTGAAAGGTACTCATCGGAACTGCTACATGAAGTTGTATTTTAAAAACATTTTGAGGTGCCTGGGTGGCCCAGTCCTTAAGCGTTTACCTTCAGCTCAGGTCATGATCCCAGCATCCTGGGATTTGAGCCCTGGGTCAGGCTCCCTGCTTGTGCTCTCTCCTTTTCTCTGTCAAATAAAACCTTTAAAAAAATAAAATATAAAAACTTCTTCTGAGGTACCTGGGTGGTACAGTCCGTTAAGCCCCTCTAACTTGTGGTTTCCCCTGAGGTGGCGAGATCCAGCCCTGCATAGGGCTTCATGCTGGGTGGAAGGGGGTGGGGGCAGGAGCTTCTTAAGATTCTCTCTCTCTGCCCCTCCCCCTACCTCAAATAAATATTTAAAAATTTTTTTTTAAATTTAAAAAGACCTTTCTGGGATGTAATTAATAAACCTTACAGTCCACCAGTTGAAGATGTTTGTTGTTTCAAATTACCTTTTAAAGAATATTAATAGTCAAGCACTTCATAGGTGTTACCAAATACAGCAATCCTATCACCTGGGGCTATTTTACATGTGAGGACATATTTAAGAAACTTGTCCAAAATCATACCCAATAAGGAGTGTGACTTGGATTTCAGTTTCTGTGTAGTCTAGAAATAATAACTGCTATGTACATATTTAATAGGACACTTTCAAAACACAGAAGAAAAATAAGCCCCATTACCCCGAGATGAAATATTGAATTTACATGCATAAACAGAATTTAGAGCTAAAAACTCTTAACATTTAAAGATCGTGATGTGGGGCACCTGGGTGGCTCAGTGGGTTAGACTAGCCTCTGCCTTCGGCTTGGCTCATGGTCTCGGGGTCCTGGGATCGAGCCCCGCGATGGGCTCTTTGCTTGGCGGGGAGCCTGCTTCCCCCTCTCTCTCTGCCTGCCTCTCTGCCTATTTGGGATCTCTCTCTCTGTCAAATAAATAAATAAAATCTTTAAAAAAAATAAAGATCGTGATGCATATTGCCAGTGGCTTTCCAGAAAGACTGTAGAACAGCAAGATCATGTATAAAGTGTGCCAATCTCATTTGCCAACATTGACTGTTATCTTCATTAATACTTGATTGGTGATTTATATTTAAATGTCTGCCATTGGGATGTATAGGCTTTGGTGCACATACTGGGTTTTTTTAAGTCATTGCACTTAAAAAGTACCTGCCACGTGGTAGCTGAATGTTTAACCAGGCTGAACCCTTATTAATATGTCATATTCTTGGTGGTATATAAATACTTTTTGAATGCTTTTTATAGCTTACAGAAATGTCTCTGGTTCGTGTGAGCAATTTAATACCTGTGACCTTTTATTTTCACATCTGGAAATGGTGACAGCTGATGCTGTTTAGGAGAAAGTTGAAGTGGGCCCAGGGCATTTGCTTAAAATCATAATTATATTGCTTTGATATTCATGTAACTCAGAAACTTTCTTTGACTTTGGAGTTTGAAAAAGTAATGGTTAACTTGAATCTTGGAGAAGGAAAAAGATGCTAAAATCTTGAGTCTGAAGAAATAGAAGGCAGTTCATGAGAAAAGAGGTATTTCATCCCCATTACGCAGGTTAGAAACTGAAGCTCAGAAATGTCAGCAACATTACCATGTTCACACAGCTAATAAACGATAAAGGTAGAATTCAGGATAAGGTTTTTCAAAAGACCATATTCATTTTAATATAGTACACTAGCTACTAGAAATAAAAAGATTGTAGCTTTAGGGGCGCTTGGGTGGCTCATTGGGTTAAAGCCTGTGCCTTCGGCTCAGGTCATGATCTCAGGGTCCTGGGATCGAGCCCTGAATCAGGCTTTCTGCTCAGCGGGGAGCTTCCCTCTCTCTTTCTCTGCCTGCTTGTGATCTCTGTCAAATAAATAAATAATCTAAAAAAGAAAAAAAAAGACTGTAGTTTTGTTTTAATCAGTTCTTGGTCAAAGCAATACTATTGAAACAATTGAATTTTCTGCTTGAACTCTACAGTTATTACCTCCACAGTCATCATAAAGTTAATCTTTTTTTTTTTATCAACAGAGTTCATTGCCACACAGCTGATTATAATTACATTGTAATAAAATATATCCATGCCAACCTGTACATTAGGAACAGTCACTCCTTTCTATCTGTAATACAGCTTCTAAGGCTCTGTGTGTCATCCAGTTGTTCACTTTGCAAATATTTACGGAAGATCTATCATGACTCATTCTGGTGCTATTGATCATTAAGCTCAAGGACTCTACTATGTCACTGGATAAAATGCACAATGTGAATAATAAACATGATGATTGGCTTCATGGATATAAGTATAAGGTATAATAAGAGTCCAGGGAAAGGGCCATTTGTCAATCTTACCTGAAGAGTCAGGAAAAACTTCAGAAGAAGTGATCTTTGAACAAATTCTTCCTTTGCTTGGCAGGAAGTAAAGGTAGAAGTAACAGTCTAATGATTAGTCCTGGAATTGCCAGTAGTTTGGTTGCAATATAGGGTATCTGAATGGGGAATAGAAATGATAGACAATGAGACTGAAGATGTAAGCAGGCACAGGAACGTGAAGGTTCTTGTATGACACTTTAAGTAGTTTGGCTTTTATCTTGTAAGTAATGGGGAGCCATCAAAAATGTTTAGTTAGGGCGCCTGGGTGGCTCAGTGGGTTAAGCCGCTGCCTTCGGCTCAGGTCATGATCTCAGGGTCCTGGGATCGAGTCCCGCATCGGGCTCTCTGCTCAGCGGGGAGCCTGCTTCCCTCTCTCTCTCTCTCTGCCTGCCTCTCTGTCTACTTGTGATCTCTCCCTGTCAAGTAAATAAATAAAATCTTAAAAAAAAAAAATTAAAAAAAAATGTTTAGTTAAATAATGGGGAAGCATTGTGAAAAGGGGCTTGAAAGAAGAAATGACTAGGAATAGAAAGACCTGGTAGCTATTAAAATAATCCAATTACATATTGATATTTGGGTGGTGGAGGTGGAAAGAGGTTAAGAGAATTAACAGAAGTTTGTGACCATTTGTATAACTGCTAATTTTCTGCCTTGGGTCCCTAAGTGGAGGGTACTTTATGATTTAATTTGGATAATCCATACACCTTCAGTGTCTTTGCCTCTCCAGCATATTCCCTGAAAAGTCCCCTGGATGAACTGGATCATTTGCCTTTTGTTGGGAACCCACTGAACTGCCGAATAATGCTGGAGAAAATCACTTAATTAGGATTATTAGTTTCTGTTTAAAACTCTCTTAAATGACCACAAACCTCAGATTGGAACTGAACACTGCCCAGGAACTTGACCATGTGAATTAGTTTGCTAGAGTTGCCAGAAGAAAATTCATAGTGGCTTGAACATTTATTTTTTCATAATACTTGGAAGCTGGATGTCTGAGGTCAAGGTGTTGGCAAGTTGGTTTTCTCTGAGGGCCATAGGAAGGATCTGTTCCAGCCCTCTCTCCTTTGCTTACAGATGACTACCTTGCTGTGTCTTCACATTTGTCATGCTGTGCCTACATGTGTCTGATATCAGTCTGTGTGTCTAAATTTCCTCTTCATATAAGGACACCAGCCATATTAGATTAGGGCCCACCTTCATAGCCTCATTTTAATCACCTCTTTAAAGACCTTAACTCCAAATATGATAACATTCTGAGGTACTGGGTGTTAGGACTCCAACATATGTATTTGGGGGTCACAAATAAGCCCATAACATGTTTCTCTGATTGCTGTAATTCCTATTCAGTGAGATGACTTTTTTCTCTCCAAAAGCCTTATACTTACACACCTTCTCCATCATCACTCTCAGTGATAAAACTAAAGCCCATGAA